GCATTTCAGCAACTCCGCACAATTAACCTACCCACCCATTCACAACTTATCCTGAATCACATAAGCTTATGGCTAGTGTGAATCACCACACTCAAGGACAAACAAGATAAGACTTGTCAGCTGACAGGTACAGCGCGTGGACCCGCCAGAAGACCACATTTTTCTCGGGCCATTATCTCCGTAACCGTTCAACTTTGGACATAGGTGTTTTGGGTTATATCGGCATACTTTAACATAAGGAACACCCTCCCGAAGTCTGGCACATTCCTCCTGGGACACCCTGTATATACAACAGCTGCTAGGTTAAGTAGATGAACAACATACTGTGCCTTCACTTTACATGAAGCGAGAAGAATATTCTCTTTATGTACATATTGTTATCCTTCATTCACCAACATACTCAGAAGATTGCCCGCTGAGCAAGGATTACAAAACTCACTGATCCTAAATTAATGTGACATAACATCTGAAAAGCTGGAACAATGAAATGTGTCAACACAGTCACTGCTAAGCAACTCACGACTGCCCACTGAGTAGGGATTATGAAACCAATCCTGAATTATTGTAACATAACAGCCAAATAGCTGGAGTGTTGGAATGTGTAGATGCGGCCTTTGCTAGGCAACAGCAGGGTAAAATGTATCCTCGACAACAAATGTGCACACAATGGAACAGCTCCAGTACGTGGCGTTTTCTATGTAGTCCATGCCAAGGCTATATAACGGGGACACCAGCCAACCCAACGCCTAGTGAAAACTACAATAGCACATAAGTCCTAATGTTTGCAGCAGTGATTTGTAAATTGGGTGCATTAGTGAAAGCATAATGATTTGCAGTTACAAGTTATAAGTGTTCAATAAATCCAATTTCAATCTAAACCCCGTGTCTAGTCACTAAACCATGTGACATTATGAAAGTGGAATTTCAATTTCACAACCCATCTGGTCTCAGTATTTCAATGACATTCAGCCTCTCTATATTAGTCATGTCCCATTACTCTGCAGTCAATCAGATGTCACTGGCCTGTTCTGGCAGCACAGTGTCAAGTACATATGTGTAAATGGTTGTACATGACAAATAACAAGGTGTCAATCTTAAAGGCTGTTCAAACCTTTTTAAACACATCTAGCATTTGCTGATAACTGTATGAACTATTTCATAATTCATGTATGGCCAAAATGTAATACTGCAATGAAAAGCATACCTAATATAATGATATTTCTGCAACACCAAAGCTGGGAATGAGACACAGAAAATAAAAACTGAAAGTGCAGTGGAAACATTAAATCCAGACCCCGTTAAAAATACAAATCTAAACTGAAAAACTGCTCACTGTTAAAAAAATACCAACCACTGTCAGAGAACAATGCAATGTTTATGTTCGGGCAACATATATGGAACAAGAATCGGACCTGCATATCTTTTTCATACCTACAGAATTTAATCTTAAAAAGCTGACAAGTCACTCAGCTGATAAAGAAATTTCTCACCTTTTATGGAACCAAATTTCATTAGCATGTTCACATAAATCCACATACCCAAAGCCCTGTGCAACATTTTATCAAAATACTAATCATTTATGGTCACAGCCCCACCCAACTCCCAGGCCGCAGACTGTCCCTTGTCCATTGTCATGGTAAGCAGACAAAAGGGAGTCCTTGTCAACAACCTGGGACGTTCCTATGCCCCCCGCAAAAAAAAACAGTACACATAAAACATTCCATTACCTTAATTTTGCTTAGTGGGGGGTGGAGTCCAGCTGGGTCCACTCAGCATGGCGACCACTGATTGGCCTATTGTACCTGCCCCGGGTGATTATGATGATGGAGAATTTGGTGGAATGAAGATTGGCAGGGGAAACGAAAGTACTCGGAGAAAACCCACCCCAGCGTCACTTTGTCCACCAGAAATTCCACTTCACCAGACCCGGGATCGAACCTGGGCCACTGCGGTGGGAAGCCAGCAACTAACTGCTGGAGCTATGGCGCAACCTTCCATTACCTTAGCCCACTGTGATATGAAAAAGCATAATTTGCCTATACAAATTATACTTAGCCACCTTTCATAGAAATTTAAATCTGCAATTCAATTGAAACATTGCACATTATTTTCCTTGGAACTAAACTGCAGGTATTCAACGAATATTAGAAGAGATGAACCACCTAATGGATTTCCTATTGAGAATGGTCTTCTGTATCACCCTTGCTTTTTAACTCTGCTTTCAAAATGCCCAGGTTGAATGGGAATTTAAAGGTAGAAACCAGCTTTTGGTCTATACCAATGATATTTAGCAGACAAAAACATGGAGCATCATAAAGTAAAACTCAGAAACTCTACCAGATACTAAAAGAGATGATCTAAAAAGAAATGTAAAAAAAAAAAAGATTAAGTTTACCTTTCACTGCTAGAATGCTGGAGAAAGTCACAATATAAAGCCAACCAGCAATGAGGAAAAGTTCAAATATTTGAGAAGCACATCTAAATTACACACATGAAGAAAGTAAGACTGCATTAAATTCAGGGCACACCTGCTACCATTCAGTTCAGAATGCTGATCTTTCAACCTCTGACCTAAATGCCAACAATTACAATAAGCAATAAGTCTACTGTTATAATGAGAAGAGAAATCTACAGGTGATAAGATAGGGGGAAAAGAGAATGGTGAAAATTGCGTAATGAGGAGATTCAATATTTGCAGCCTTGCAATGATATTAAAGTGCAGATGGATTAATGGAATAAGTAGCAGCTGTGGGAGATGAGACAAAAACACAAAATTTTAGTTAAAAAACAAATGCAAGACCTGGGTACCGATCAAAGACTATGAAAGGGCATCTTACATACAGCAGAGACTGGGTTTAACTGACTCAGAGCAAGGTCCAACTGTGAAATCTTGTGAACATGGCAAACCTTTGGGTTCCACAAAATGTGGGTAACTTCCTGGCTAGAAAAAAAAAAAGGATCACGTAAAAAAAATCCTGCACCAGAGTTTAGGTGGCTTTAACATTTGGAAAGACAATGAATCCATATTTGTTTAAATCAAAATAATACAGAACCTGGTGACAATAATTACGTACTGCCTTTCAAAAAATTCTTATTAAGTGTTTCTTTCAATTTCCAACATTTACTGTCTCATTCCCGTTCTAAGTTTTATATGTGGTTATCTCTAAACTAGGTGACCACCCTACACCAGTTCTTCATACGTCACCACCTCGCATTTACCCAATTCATTACATTTCATCATCTGAATGATACCAACTTGGAGAACTGGTAACGTTAAGCTGTACGGTATTTGTTTCACAAAACTGCGGCAGTGCACGTGCTGGTTAAGCAGGCCCCAGCAGGACTAGTGTTGCATTTTTACATATAAATCTCTCTACTGCGAAGTTTAAAATCCAGCTGCCGGCACACCACCATGAGGTTTAAATCCAGCCAACAAAAGTTAATGAGCATTAAAGTGTCAGATGCAGAACAATCTTATGATTGGTGAAAATTAATATACCACTTATTAGAGCACATAATTATTCTTGCATAGCTCAAGAGAGTAAATTTCACATACATAATGTCCGAGAAACAATGCACACATTTGAGACATTTTTGTTGAGAAAATAACTGGAACTAGGAGCATACAGCTTTCACCACATGAAATACCTACTCAGAAAGTTCTTTCCCCACCTTTCTCCATTTCACTGCACTTTAACCTGAGCTTCCTTTGTTGCATGCAAAATGTCCATCTGCTAATTAAATACCCTGAATGCAATATCATACATCTGAGGCATCATTCCTCCCATAGAAACGATGATACATTTTTCAAATATCACAAACAAGTGACTTGTGTGTGGTACATCTTTTTCTCTGTGTACCCTAAAAGGAAGAAATCCATGGATGTTAAATCTGGCAATCTTGCAGGTCATGCAACCAGCTCTCCTATTCCAATCCATCTTGCAGGAAACACTATGTCCAAAAATTGTCCAATAGGTAAACTCCACTGTCGTGGTGGGGAAGAAACTTCTTGAGTAGTTGTGTCATGTGGTGAAAACTGTACTCTTCTACCTATTTTCTTTATAAAAAAATTTAAAATGTGTACATTCTTCCTCAGACACCTATATGTTTGAAAACTGACATGTTAGTTCCCATACAATGGAAAGATACTCAAGAAACTCACGATTGTGCAATGCATGTGAATCTGTAGGGTCTGTTTTAACATGTTTATAAGCAGGTGTAAACTTGTCTCCCTTTATGGGCTTTGGGACTTCACTTACATTGCACCTTCAGAGTAGATATAGTTTGTTACTACAACAGCAACTCACCCATGAGAAGGAATGGAACCTAATAAAAACAAATTGCAGATACCATATACATTCAAAATTATATTACTAGGTGAATATATCAAACCTGTTTACAACAGGCACCTAGGAGATAGGAACTTTTTCTGTTTCAGGATAGTTTCCTTCAAACACAGGTACTTACTTACAAAGCTACTGCACATCACTCTCTCTTTACATGATCCAAACTAAAGACCAATCATGCACATCATGTTACTAATGAGAACTATAATTTTTTTTCCCACTTCTTTGCTTCCTTATTTTCTTTCTTTCCCCAACAGAATACACACAGTAATTGCCAAACTTCCTTTCTTTCCCATTTCTAATAAGAATATTCCTTCTCCGAAAAGTTCCAGGAAGACCAGAGTACATTTATATGATTGGAATTTCCATATATTATTTACTGTCAAATTTCTGATTTCTTTTCAGATTTCCAATCTATTAAGACATATTTTTATGTTAGTTATCATTCAGTATTGTTGGGATGAGAGAGGCTTTTTGTGACATGCAGATTTCTGTTTCAGATATGTTTTACACTATGTCAACCTGGTGCAAAACAAAAGGATATTTAGTTTCTGAAAATAAGACCTGAACCTTCTCCTTAAGCTCATCCTTATGCCCATATTCAGAACCTTTATGCCCTAAGGTAAGAGTTATTAACAGATTGTGAGCCATCACCTTCTCCTGATGATCTGGTCCAGGTGGCATACAGTACATCTCCTGAAGCTGCTGCTGCAATGCTGCCATCTCTTGCTGATGGCTGAATGCTGAAAGTCCCAGGCTTGGTGGGGGGAGAGGAAGTGGGTGGTGGGAACTTGTTCCTACAATACTGGGGTCATACAGTGAAGAGGTATTCATCATTCCATCAGAGTTCTGGTCTGGTACAGACAGACCTCCATCCACAGGAGCTGGATACTGGGAAGGCATCATATCATCTACACCACTTGATTGGTACGATGGAACACTACTACTGCCGGCACTGAATTCAGCATATGCTGACTGTTCTGTAGGTGGAAGACCTAGACTTGGCAACAAGCTGGTACTACTGCTAGGCTTCATATCTACAGTCTTAGGTGCTGTATCCATAGACTGGTTACTTGACATGTCCAAGTTTGATGAAGATGGTGTAGTTGGGGCAAGTGAAGGAGGAATGTGACCATTCAAACTACTGTCTGCACCATTCATGTTAGGAGTCCTATTGTTTGATGAGAACTTGTCACCCAAGAGTTGTGATGCTGAACTAAACTCAGACTGTGGCACAAGATTATTGCTGGAATCACTAACTGGTGGAGGTGCTGAGTTCTGAAGTGGCGACATCCCAATATCCTGACCTGCTCCAACTGTTGGTGGAACAACCTTTTGTGGCTCCATTGACCTAGAGTCACACGCTGTGTGGGGGAGATAGGAAATTCCTTGATTACTCTGTGGCTCCAACATACCACTGCCACCATTTAAGCTGACTGGTGGTCTAGAGGGTTGATGTGGCCACTGCTGGGGTGACATAGGCATCCGTGGACCCAGCACTGGAGATAATGGATTGTTCTGCTGAGGTGGGGGGACAAGTGGAGTTCTGGGTTGATAGGAGGGATATTCTGTCGAGCTGCCAGACACCGGTGGCATGACCATCTGCTCCAGCTGCTGTAAAGTACTCTGTTGTGGAAATGATGGCATAGGCATTGGGGCAGGAGAAGACGTGGTGGACTTTGGAGTGAGGGCAGTGGCTGGGCGTGGTGATAATGTGGACTGCTGTGGATGTGGATGAGGGGACAGAGTGCTTGGTTTGGCAGGAGACATCACTGGGCGAGGAGACATCTGCTGTTGGGGTGGTGTAGGTCGAGGAGACATTTGAGGTCTTGGGGACATCTGAGGTGAAAGCTGGGGAAAGGGTGCTCTATACTGTGGGCTGGCTCCTCCAAGAGATGGGCCATGGGGCTTCTGTCCACCAGCATTATACTGTGAACCTGCTGCTCCAGCTGTCACCTCAATACCTATTGGTCTTGGCATCTGTTGGTGTGGCTGTGTCAATGCAGAAGCAGCCTGCTGATTGTAACCCCCAACTCCTGGATGTCCCATCTGTCCAGGACTTGGTGGTACAGGTTGCCCATGCTGCTGAATGTGGTTATATGAAGCCTGCTGCTGATTCTGTTGTGCATTCAAATCCATCTGTGGCTGCATCTGCTGCTGATTAGGCTGTGGATACTGCACATGATGTGGCATCCTGTTTGCCTGCTGATGTTGCTGCTGCATAGGGTTGTAGCCACCATATGCTGATGCTGAGTTTGACCCTGGATATACCATGGACTGTGAGCCCTGTGGATAGCACTGCTGCTGAGCCATACTGGACTGCATTCTCTGCTGCTGTGGAATGGGATATGCCCCAGTTGCTGGAATGTTCTGCATCATGGAGTTCATGAGACCTGGCTGGTTTGCTGAATACTGCTGCTGAGGGCCCAGTTTCTGCTGTGCCCCCATACTATTGTCCTGCTGGTGGGGATAGTTCACATGTTGTCGATATGCACCTTGGTTCATTTGACTATAATGCCTAATGGCACCAGGATAACTTGAAGCACTGTTCCACGCTTGCATCCCATCATTCATGTTCATGTTTGGACCACCAATTCCTTGTTGTTGATCCATTGAATATATGGTATCGGGTGGACAATAAGGTGGGTACTGAGTTGTTGAGGGACCTTGGGGGTGAGGTGGTCTTCTCATATCATGTTGTGGGGCCATTGTTCTAACATGACCCTGATATCCTCCAACAGCACTAGGAGGGCACATAGGTCGTGCAGTATCATACCCACTTTGATTCTGATGAAATATGGTTTGTGGTGATGGATCAATATGGTTTGATGATGTAAAATCATCACCAAATGAAGCCAACTTCTGGAGTGGGGATTCTTGCTGCATGCTGGACATCTGGTGCCCATATGATGGTTGAACATAGCCACTTCCTGCCCCTGCAGTTTCACGCGAGGCACCCGAAACAGGTGTTGGTGCAGGATCAAAGTTGTCGGCACCTAGGTCTGCCAAGCCATCCAACATGCTGCCACCTACATCTTCGCCAAACAAGTCATACGAATCCATTCCCGCATGCATCCCACCACTTTATACTTCCTGCTGCATTACTGTGCTGAGTGATATTGCATATTTTTCAATAGGAAGTTTACACAACTGAGGTGCCATCTTCTATTTCCCTTTCAGAGTAAGAGAAATAGGGCTGGAGATCTGAAACAACAAGAAATAAAACATGTCATACAACTGCACTTGCTACATCAAGAAGAAAGCAACTGACAAAAGACTACTTAATGAACTTCACATAAGAGCATGTGATTGAATGCAGGTCAAACAAGGAATCTAATGAACTGTAACTCAGACAACTAAGTCAATATTCTCAGCAAAATACTGATACAGACCACATTCTGCTTCACTTTCATTATTTATGTATAAATACTGTAAAAAACTTATACCTAGCGAGACCACGGCAACATACATATCAGATGGCATGGGTTTTCACTTCCTGAGGCCTGTTATCCAGAATTAAATGTTGTAATTTTTAGGCATTCCTTTCCATAATATAGGTGTCTCAAAGGGAGTCTGCCATGTAGTCAATCAAGATCACTTCTACAAAAAATTTTCAATGATATCACTAAAAAAGTATGGAACATGACATAAAATGAAACCATTTGCACATAATTATGATTACATTTTCCAGGTTTAAAACGCATGAGCAGCAGCCTGAAAAAAGCAGACCTCCTGACAGGCAATATCTGTATGTTGAGACAATTCTCTTCCATGCTGATGGCAGAGATGGTTCAAAGGGGAAATGCTATACGCTTATGATTGTTACAAGCACATAATCGCTACAGCTTCTCCCGCCTGAACCACTCATCAGAACTTCATATCTTCACTGACATACAATATGAAATTACAAACTCTTTACTGAAACAAATAAATTAATAATCTAAGACATAACTCTCTGTTCTACCTAAACACACACAAAATGTTATGGGATGTCTGTTCCAGTTAAAGATGGGTGACAGAACAGCAATTACTTCACATCAGATAAACTGACATGAATATGGAACACATCTAATTAAATGCTAAGCGACAGACTGTACGGGGCCATCTTTCTTGAGAAGCTGATAGCACTCAGCTGCTCAAGAAATGCCCCTGAAGGTTCATTAGCTTGCTTACAAAAGCCTCCCATTGGACTATACTGTGCCATATGCATCCATTCCATACCTCACACTCTATTAATTTAAGATCCATTTCAATATCACCCTTCTATCTATGTCTAGGTCTCCGAAGTTACTTAGGCTATGGCAAACAATCCACCCAAGGACCTTTGTGGCATTTCACACTAGGCTAGCTTTTTACTCTGTTAGCTCCCATCCAACCCCCAAGGTAGGAGACTTGTTGACTTTATACATGGTTGCTTATCCTGTGATTTGTACAATCAATGCCACACATGAAATACAGCTGAAACAGGGCCACACTCTGTTCACCAAAATTTATGGTGGTATATCAAGAGTTGCGATAAATCAAAGTAACTTTTTTCAGTCATAAAATTTGCTTGATTAAAAAGATGTCGATTACAAAACAAGAACATGTTACTCAGAACTAATGGGTTTTTGGACTTTGTCCATCAGCCGGTATTCTGCAAACTACAAAACATGTTTCGAAAACTGGATCTGTTTCCATCCTCAGGTGAGGGACTGACCAGTGATTGTGGTTAGCTCTTTCTAAGGGACCCAACTGAGTAGGTATATTCCCCCCTCTCACCTGAGTATAGAAACAGATCCAGTTTTCAAAACGTTGTGTTTTGTGGTTTTCAGAATACCGGCCAATGGACAAAGTCCAAAAACTCAATAATACTGAGTGTTACACACCACCATGAAAACCCTTCAGAATCTATATGAACATGTCAGAATAGCATTTGATACAGTAGTACTGTACTTGCAAATATCTTCAATGCATTGGTGCAAAATATTTCTCAATCTTTGTTTGAACTTTTCCACTAACTTCTGTATAGCAATGCAAAGAGCTATATAACATACAGCATCATGTTCTTGTCGTAACTGTTCTGTTCACAACACTGCCAATTTTTCATCACAAATCTGAGCCTTCTTAGCATTATCTTTTTCACTGTCAGTTTCAACAATAGGCATTTCCTGCATTAGCTGAACAACTTCTCTACAGTCATTTCTGTAAACCTGGTGCCTTCTCATGGATTTTTGATAAATTCTTCTGCAGTAAACAGTGTCATTGTTGGAAGAACACTGCACATTGTGTTTCGCAGACCTCAACCCAGGATGTCTTCGTTCACCCTGAACCTGATGCATATTTATCACTATCCCATGTGTCCAACAACTGCTGACAGTTTCAGGCAAAATTGTGTCCAAAGTGAGTTCTATTAAATATCCTTTATAAACTGTTCGAATGAGGTGGTGACTGCTGTTAATACATTACACAATCTGTCTTACTTGATGTTGTCAGCAGTTTGCCTTGGAACTTTTGATGATTCCAGCATCCAGAGGTTGTAGAATGCCTGTAAAATTTGGTGGCAGGTACTCCAGCTGCACAGTACTGAAATTTATGAAGTCGTGACAAGAAGCGTTGTCTACTAGTAACAAAACTTTGCACTCTGCTTTTGCATTTCTATTTAAGCTGATCAACCACTCATATTTTCTTCTGGACATCCGTGCCTTTGTATTACTTGTAATTTACATAAATGGATGGGCCGTGCCATTGCTCAAGCGGTTAGTCGCTGGCTTCCCAACGCGGCGGTCCGGGTTCGATCCCGGGTCTGGTCAAGTGGGATTTGTGGTGGACAAATTGGCACTGGGGCAGGTTTTCTCTGAGTACTTCAGTTTCCCCTGCCAGTCTTCATTCCACCAATTGCTCCATAATCAGCCTCACCTATCATCTGGGGCTGGTACAATAAGCCAGAAGTGGCCGCAGTGCAAGGGACTTAGTCCCACCCCACTAGCAATAATAATACATAAATGGATGTAATGAAATTCTTGAAACAGCATGATTTAGAAGTCTCTGCATTTCTCTCTGCCAATCTGCCTTGTTTTGCATGCAGTAACAATAAGTGACATCTGAACCAATGTAAACATCCACTGTTGTATGTGAAGCCTGCAACATACATCTGCTGTCCAATTTCTTTTGCTCTATCCACAGCAACTTCAACCACCGCTGCACCATTTGGGTCATTTAACTATCCTATCAATATTGCTAATATACCCTTCAGTTTTTTGTTTTGCAGCTTTTAGCTATTGCATGTTACCACTTGCTAGATTTTACCATTTATTTTTCTCACTAAGTATATCACCAATACTGAGATGACTGGCAGATTTGTCTTATAACACAGAAAAATAGTTGGCAATATTCTGCTGAGAAGATGCAGGAAATTGTTCTCTCTGAGCAAGGACTTCTTTCTTTTCACTTACAATTAACACTACCTTCCTCCCCATTCCATACTTCACTAGTAAAATAAAGGGTAGGATAACTAAAAACTGTACTGTAATATACATTCAAGGATGACTTCAAGAGATGCATTGGTGCCTCAGTATACTGTATCATTTTGAAACCATACAGACTGTCACAATTAGTGAAAAAGAGGAAACAAACTTTCAGTAATCTTGAAAGAAGAAGAAAAAAAGTCCAAAGTTTAAATTTGACCTAAGCTAATTGCTTTGACAAAGAAACCAATATTCTCTATATCAGTTTACTTTCCTGTAGAATTAAAAAGCAACCTGTTTACTGAAATTCATACAGTATTTTGAGTTGTCAAACCTTTTAAAATTTGTACTATCATTACCACTCCATTCTTTTCAGATGACCAAAAGTGATAGAGCACTAATATGAAAAAGGTAAAGCTATCCCTGTAACAGGATGCGGAGGCCTATAGGTTTGTGAGATGCGGAGGCTCCTACATTTTCTCGACAGTTGGCTCAAAGATGGAGGTGAGGATGTCTGCCATACAAGCCAGCCGCCCTTTACCCCCAAGATACATTCCATACAAGCTGCTTATACAGTAGTAGTCTTTTTTGTACAAGGTGGTCAGCATTACATATCAGTCCTTAGAATGATTAGGTCCTTGAGGATCAAACATCAAGCTTGGATTTCCATGCCAATGGTGAACAAAGAAGGAAATATCACAACACCTGATCTTTCCTTGCCCACTTTAATGGACTTAACCATTCTTACACACTTAGAAAAATGTATTCATAAAATTTTGCTGCACATTATAGTGCATGCAAAAAAAGTGAAAGTACAGCAACATAGTGATATAACTAATTTCATGGAGCTGAGCCCATTTTGAGAAACCGCCAGTCATGCAGCTATTCAAGAACTTCCCAGCATTATATGGAATCCCAAGGTCCATCACAGTGTTCACAAGAGCCCTCCACTAGTCCCTATCCTGAGCCAGATCCATCCAGTCTATACCAGCCCATCCCATCACTTTAATATTATCCACCCACCTACAACTTAGTCTTCCTAGTGGTCTCTTTCCTTCTGTCTTCCCCACCAATATCCTATATGCATTCCTCTTCAACCCCCCTTTCGTGCTACATACCCTGCCTATATTAACCTTGAAAGGCAATTCTTCCTTATCCCAAATAGAATTATCAGACATTATTTAATGCTTATGGGCACATCTGTAACCCAAATCTTTGGCAAATGGCAGATCACAAGGGTGGAACTATATCAACAATTCACTATTAATAAGGTAAGGAATTCCTGTTCAGACTTTCACAGGCACTAAGTGAGGGTGGTGCTTTATCAGGATTCAAATGTAGTTTCATAAAGGTATGGTAAAATATTATATTTAAGCATCCTGTTGCACTTTATACGATATATGATATAACTCCGTCCTAAGTGCAAACTATATTTATAGGTCTTTCATTTTGTTCCTCTCTATACACTACATGTTTCGGCCCCAAACGGCCATCATCAGGTGTATACACTCACGTATCTGTTACACTGCACTTATTTATAACATTTAAAATTTAAAAACATAGGTCTTCCTGATTAGCACCTATAAAATCAGCGGCACGCACACAAGAAGACTACACAGAATAACACCTATACAATACTAGAAACAAGAAGAAGTTGCTGCAGCACTATAGACATAGGGCGAGTAACCCTGACATTTTTAAGACTTAAAAGTTTAGAGAAAAAAATTTTAAAAGATTTCAAATTAGAACAGAAGATTTTATAAGTGCTACTCAGGAAGACCTACGTTTTTAAATTTTAAATGTTATAAATACGTGCAGTGTAACAGATACGTGAGTGGATACACCTGATGATGGCCGTTTGGGGCCGAAACATGTAGTGTATAGAGAGGAACAAAACGAAAGACCTATAAATATAGTTTGCACTTAGGACGGAGGTATGGTAAAGTTGTCCCTGTACTTAACTAAATAAGCACTACGCCATTAAGGCGCATACGGTAGTGGTTGTATAGATACACATTTTCTTGACCTCGGCACTAGTTGGAGGCGAGTGGTTAGCTTCACGCCCTGGCTGCTTTACCTTGGGGAACGAGCCCCCTGTACCAATTTTATAGGAGGTTTGGTGGACCCCAGAGCCGGTCTGAACGACATGGAGAAGTGAAAATTCTTGACCTCACCAGGACTTCAACTCGAAACCCTCGATCATCCAGCCAGTAGCCAGTTGCTAACCTAACCTATACTATCCCAGCTCTTCAAATCTACTTTCACTGCAGTGAAAATGTGTACAGAAGTTCCAGAACAAGTTTCCATATGTTCTGCCATAAAATTTATCTAGTAATAGTGTGCAAGAAAACAATCTATTTAATCACTCCATTCAAGCAATGTGGCCAGTGTTTATCTTAACCTACACTATTACTTAAATTTACCAAGTACCTATATGACATAAGGGCACTTACGACCTTCTGAGGAGAAATGTGTTCGTTCGTTCGTTCATTCATTCATTCCATATATAAGGATATGGAAAATGACCAGTGAATGCTGATATCAGTGCTAAGTGGCCATTACTGAAGGCAGCATGTCTAAGCTGTGTATGCAGAACCACAGCCTTGTGCTCAAAAAGTGCATGGTATCACAGTTAAGTTCAGTAGCAGTAACCACACCAAAAACTTCACCAATGTATTTAACTTTTTACAAACAACTGTTTGTAACTTTAGGAGCTGGGATAGAGTAGTTGGCATAGCAACTGGCTGCGGGTTGGAGTTCAAGTCCCAGTATGGTCAAGATTATTCTTTTCTCCACACTGTCCAAGCCGGATATAAGGTCCACTCAACCTCCTATCCAACGGGTACCAGGGGCTCTTCCTCCAAGAGTAAAGAGGCCAGGGCATGAACCTAACCACTCACCTCCAACTAGTGCCAAGGTCTAGAAAATGTGGATCTATACATCCACTCCCCATATGCCTTTATGGTGTAGTGTTTAATTAGTTAAACATAGGGACAACTTTACCTTTCTTTTCCTTTAACTGATTGTAACCTTAGTAACAATAATTATTATATGGGCAAACAAAATATGGTACACGGTGCTTACAGGGACTGTTTATAGATAACGTATATGAGTGCACTATGTTAATGACCGTAATAATACAGAATATCAGATCTACATAAAATAGGCAGAGCAGGGTTTTCTGTCGTTAATTCATCAAATCAATTCCATCCTTCATAAGATACTGAGGAAGACTGCATTTCTGGGACATCCAAAACTATTTGACTGCAAAATTACAATATGATGACCATTATCAGCAGTAACAGTTTACTGTTCAACATAATGGACTGCACTACACATCATGTTTAAATAATTGTATGAAGCAGAGTCTTCCTTATGAAGCTTCTCTGCCTTTTATAGAACCTGATGATTCAATACCATGTTTACTAGGGCCTGTCATACCACCCTGAACCAATTCAATCCAGTCCATACGATACAACCTACATTTTGAGGGTCCATTTTTATACGAACCTCTAACCTATACCTAGATTCATGATGCGTATAACACAATGAAAAGAATGTGACTTGTAAACTACAACAAAACAACCACAATTTCCCCCAGCAAGACAGTAAGATATGCCTTTAATTTTCTTGCAACTGTATAGTCCTTGTACAAATTCTGCAGACACGGATATGCCATACACTACATTCGTAACATGAAAAACAAATTAGTATCAATATCATCAAGACAAACACATACAACATTCTTTCAGAAACTGCCACAACTCGATTAAAATTTTTCCAGTCACAGCAACGATTCAATGTGAACAAAAATGACACACTAACAGCTGGTATCTGCACATAAAAAAAAAATATAAGAAACATACAAGGTTCTCAAATAATTACCTAAATCCCTGCAGTTCTCTAAGTATTTAAACGTGTGGCGCTCCCTTTAAATTCCTACCAACACATGGATCACCGAAAACATGAATATCATCTTACAAAACATAAGCGATATCTGCATATATTAAAAATACAGAAGTGAGACAGATATCTAATTCTGATGCAAATGAACCATGCTTTGTACAATGTTCTAATACTAACCTAAAAGTTACTGGCCAGATATATCGATTTCTTTCCACAGATACCCGGAAACAAAAATGTAAAATTTTGTAATATTCCCCGGAAATGGTCATTATGACGGCTACATGCAGTTTCGTTGCCCTACATTAATAAATTCAATCAATTCAAAATATAAGGAAACACTTTGAGTTGGCACAATTAACATTCACAAATTACGAAAATAACACCAATAAGGCTTGTACTACAAATATAATCAATCTCGCACACCGGTATTCCTCGATTATTGGTATCGCGGCCGAACATTCGTTTCGCCGATTGGTAACTGATTGTAATGACAGCAGTGATACGAGCGAGCTTATAATGGAGTTGTCTGTATTGAGAAACATATTGGAACACATGAAAATCAATTCTACCCACTGTATTCTAAAGCCTACAAATCACAATCGACCTTCCAAAACGAAAAACACTTTACAATAACAACACTATGGCCGAGAGAACAATGAACTTTGTGAACGCCATTCGAAGTGTCCTCTTTCGGCTTGGGTGCCTTGATAGGCCTACGCTCAATACTTCCTGTACTACAAACCTACCCGAGATCAAAGGTGATATTATCCGAATTCTAGGAAAGGTCATGAATACAAGGAATCGTATGTGTGTATGCAAAAGCTGCTCACCAGTCCTTCTTATATAGCAAAACGCTGCAGGACTCCCAAATTTACCGAAAACCTTCTTCCTCGCACATATCGCACAGTATCGTGTAAAATAGTCGAAATAAATTTTAAGACCAGTGATCTAATTGGTTAGAATAATACCCCCTATCCTTACTTGTCGTGAAAATACAACCAATCAGGTGATATCTTTTATGCCGTCATTAGAAATGTGGATTCCCAAGCAACCAATGGCGTAATAGCATTCAGGTAAGTACCCGTATAGCATTTCTTTCGACACAGAACACCCAATTTACTATAGAGGACTGCGATAAAACGCAAACAGTCAACACGAACTTAAAATTCTAATACACTTATAAAATACATATTTTACATACTACCGATTGTCATTAAATGTACTCACCCAGCTGAAGTAAACTCGCAATGGCAGAGCATTTTTTTCTCTACCAAAGCAACAGTTTAAAACATCTTAACAATAAAAAAACCTGAACGAATACTTGTCAACAATCATCCCAGCTTCCAAATAAATGATGCATAAACGCAAGGTCTCCAATTACCGTGCAAAATAATCAATTTCCGACTTCAAGTTACCTTGCTCATCGGCGACACTATCGCCACACGACTACCTCGCGAACTACAATTCACCCTCTATGTGTGCTGAACTCTGGTGGAGTTTCAGTGAATTTCAATCAAAAAAACATACCAGTCTTAAACACCCTCGTTTATTCACGCTATTTTTGCTGCGTGGATGGTAGCCCCCCCCCCCAGTGGGCATTATGAAACAACTTGAAATAAGGGAACTATCGGTATATCTCCCTTACACCTATTATGTGTTTTACGTGTACATTAGAAAAACTGTATTTTACACATGGCAAATGCCCCTGGATTAATTCTGTTGCTTTTGTGTTTAATCACAGAGAAACCAGGTCTCTTTGCAATCTCAGAGCCTCTATATACTTGGGAAGAAAATCATCTACAGGCAAACACATCATCTCATTTAAAACTAATACAACAAATGGCTGACAGCATCACATCAGACTTAAATTATGGAAATGACACACACACACACACACAGGCACACTTGTTACAATCAGAAACAATTTCTTCCATCTGTACTCCATCGCAGCAGAAGTCAGAAAACTACAACTCCATCCAGTGTAGATTGCAGGTGAAAACTGTGTTTTTATGTTGGTACTATACAGAGAATTGGTCTCTTTAGTGATGACTTCTATTCTGATAGTACTCTGAATTTAACAAAAATGAATTTTAAATAAAAACGGGAGGATGGATAATGTCCAGNTCATGTGTGTAGTTTTTTAACGATTTTAATATTTGTCTTAACTCTTGCAGATGGGTTATGCTGTGCTTGGTTTATATAGCACATCTCTTGTCAGTGCTGGTGTCCGGAGATGGGGCCAGTTCTATTGACTGGGTCCAACTGAGGAGGTTCCCCCTGAAGATGGAGACAGGATCCAGTCTACAAAAAGCTGAATTTTAAATAAAAACGGGAGGATGGATAATGTCCATAAACACAGTAACTGTGCTAGTAGGGAGGTTTGTCTAGAAGTGAACATAGAAAAACTGAAGTATATGTTCATGATGTGTCATCAGAAATAAAGATTGCTAATAAATTTTTCAAATACATAATAGAGTTTAAATATCTTGGAAGAGTAACAAATTAGAATTGCACTTAGGAAAAAATTAAGAGCAGATTTAATTTGAAGAATTCTTGCTAATGCTTGGTACACTCAGAAGATTCTCTTCTTTGCTGTCTATAAAACCTTTACATGTTCTTTTGTATACGTGTGAAACTTTGTCACATTAAGGGAAGAACATATTAGTATGGTTGAGAGAATAACTGAGGAAGAATTAAGAGGAGACTAGAAAATTCATGAGGAGCTTTGTATTTTGTACTCTCTCCTGGCTGGACGAACAAATAAAGGATAAGAGGGTGCACTGAAGATGTGTAAAATGCATACAAAATTTTACTTGAAAATCTTGAAGAGAGAACAGTTGGGAGACCTAGGCTCAATGGTAGGACAATATTTAAACATTCCTAGAGAAATAGTATGAGACAGTGTGGATAAAATTCATTTCTCTTAGAATAATGACCAGAGGCAGTTTTCTGTAAAGAAGAAATGAACTTTTGGCTTCATCAAAGGCAGGGAATCTGACTAGTTGAGTGATTATTAGTTTTTCACAGAGGATCCTGCTCCATGGAGATTGTCACTTGAGAGGAAATTCTTCACATCTGAAAATCATTATGCATGAAGCTTTATTAAAATTTGATTTGTTTCATTCTGGTCTGTTTTATCTTTATTAAAATGTATATTAAGACTGTACCCACATTAGCAGCATCACAGACAATTCAGAAATGAAGTCCAGTCTTTCCAAAATTTTAAAACAATAGAATCGTGCATAAATTTATGTATGATATTCTGTGTTAAAATTAATACTATTCAAACCAAAAATAGATTACAATGACTGATGCCAGCATAAAGACATCATATATACTGCCATTCAGCACTTACAGTCAAATGCAAGACACCGCTGAGCTTCCTCAAGCTTATAATACAGGGCTTTTATCATGTGCCACTACTATGCCACAACGAGCCTATAAGATGTTTCCCTGATAAATCCATTTCAGCAGACAAGTAGCTGAGCACGTTCACAGCATCATAAATTTTAGACTGTGTACATAGAGCACTATGAAATGTGTTTTTGAACAAGATGCTACCACAGTTGTTACCCATGACATACATGCTTTCAACTTAAGAACAACTACATGAATTTATACTTCTGTCTTGATATGCTCTTTGGAAATCTTATACCTAGGCTCAAAGGGAAGGACAAAATTAAACTGGTTCTTAAAGAAATAGGAACAGGTTGAGTTGTGATACTTTATGAAAAAAGGAATGAACCTTTGGGTTCCATAAGAGGTGGGAGATTTCTGGACTAGCTGAGAGGTTATCAGCACCTTATAAAGGGCTCTTTTCCATTAAGTTAGTTAGCGATTTAGATCTACAGACCTGGGTCCTCAATTTTAATTTCTACATAAACTGTTCAACTAATGCAGAATATTAAAACGGTGCTTCAACATACCTAAGAGATCTAAACTATTAAAACTTAGGCACCCTGGATTCAGGAGGCATCAACCCAAAGGCAATAACTTTAGAAACAATATAATACATACATTAATTTCCCTTGAAATTTTCATAGAAAGTACAGAACTCTATCCTCCAGTTATAACCTCTAACCCAGCCCTGTCCAACGCGGCGCCCGTGATATATTTTTCTGGCACCCTCCGTAAGAACATATAATTGAGCAAATTTTTAATATTAATTCAAATTGTAAGACAAGATACATTTTTTAACGTCTGAGTACTGTTAAATATTTTCACAAAATTTCCTTTAAGCATGGTACAGACATTCCTTGAAAATTTATACCTATTTTTTTCTTCCTTGCTAGCATCACCAGTCTTAATTCTTTTTTCACTGGAGAAACCGTCGTCCTCTCAAGATCATGTAATTTTCCCTAGTGGTATTTTTACCCCCTCAAATAGTCACAAGTCCCCACTGAATCTGCTTTCATGGATTTCGGATTTATGGCCAGGGTATCATAAAATTTTCTGTGCTCGGCAGGGCAAACATATTCACCGACACGAACGTGACTATGGGGCCCAGCTTACCGTAATTTCCTCAATTTCTAAACTCGTCAGCAATATGAATCAAAGTTCCTTTAATCCCAACAAAGCAATGCCGCAAACAATAAGAATTTGTTAAGAGGGTCCTACACTAATGGAAATTGGTAGTAGCTATATTTCCCAGTTCGCTTTCTTCAGCCAAACATTCAGTATTACTTGCGAGTTTGTGAAGACCATCGTTCAGTTATCAGTGTATTTTAGTTATTGTACTTCAAATTATTGAGTAAATAAGCAGCACTATTTTCTATAGCTATTCTTGATATGGCTAAAAGACAAAGAAGTTATAGTTTTAACAGTGAATGAGAGGAGCAGTATTGTTTTATTGAATACAGAGGAAAACCTGTGTGTTTATTGTGTAATGGTAGAGTGTCTGTTCCTAAAAAAGTAATGTAGAGCGACATTTTTTGACTAATCACAAAAACTTCAACAGTGAATTTCCTGTGAAATCTGAAATAAGAAAACAAAATGTGAAAGACCTAAAATCTAAATTAACCTTGCAACAATGTGTATTTGCAAAGCCTATCCAGCAAAGTAGTAACATAACAATAGCTTCTTATAAAATCTGTCATGTGTTAGCTAAAAGGAAGAAACCTTTCAGTGATGGGGAAATAGTTAAAGAAGCTATGAACAGTGCCAGCGAGTCTCTCTTCAATGGTCACAAAGATAAATGTGCACTTATGTCTTCCATCAAAGGACTTCAGTTGTCTCACCAAACTGTTGCTAGACGAGTTGAACAGATTTCTGATAATCTGGAATCTCAAACACATCAGGATTTGCAATTGTGTGAATATTTTTCACTCCAGCTTGACGAAAGCACTGATATATCGGATGTTGCACAATTATGTGTATTTGTTAGAATGGTTTTTGGCGATTTTACGGTAAAGGAAGAGTTCGTTAAACTGCTGCCACTTCATGAACGTACTAGGGAAGAAGACATATTTAATGTGTTCCTTAAATTTGTGAAAGAATGTAACTTACCACTTTCAAAACTTGTTGCTATAACTACAGATGGGGCGCCTTCAATTACTGGTAGACACAATGGGTTTCTTGCTCTTTGTGCTAAGGATGAATCATTTCCCAATGTTCTTTCTTATCACTGCATTATCCACCAGGAAGCTTTATGCGCAAAGGTTTTGAAGTTCCACCATGTTATGAATGTAGTAACTCGTGTGGTAAATTATATCAGATCATCTTCTACTCATCATCGATTGTTCAGAAATCTTTTGAATGTGTCGGACACTGACCATGGTGACATAATTTTCCATGCAGACAAGGTGGCTTAGCAGGGGGAAAACACTGGAACGATTTTGCTGTTTTCTGGATGAGGTCAAGGACTTTCTGAAATCATCTCCTGGCCAATATTATCAAGAACTTGGTGAAATATCATGGCTACTAGATTTAGCTTTCTTGACAGATATCACCTCAAAATTAAATGAGTTAAATCTTGTATTACAAGGGAAAGATCATAACATTTCAAGCATGATAAGTGTGGTTAATTCTTTTCAAAAGAAACTAAAGCTATGGATTGCACATTTAAACAGAAATTCCCTTTCACATTTTCCGCATATGAAATCTGTTGTGAAAACCTTAAATGGCTGTGAATACGATCTTCCATCTTTTGCCCTGCATCCTGAAGCCCTTGTGACCGAATTTGGTAACAGATTTCGCCAGTTTTCAACACTTGAACCAGTGACAATGTTTATCAGTAATCCATTCGCTACTGTTGACGTTAGTGAACTTCGAGGAGAGGTGTGTGAAATCTTCAGAAAGTATAATCTTCAAGAATTAGAAATGGAAATTTCAAATTTCCAAGAAGACATATCTTTGAAATCCTCATTTGCAACTTGTAGCAATTTCTGGACTCTGGTGGACAGGAGTAAATATCCCATGATTCATAGCATTGCTCTGAAAATTTCTTCTTGTTTTGGTTCGACGTATCTGTGCGAAGTCACATTTTCATCTATGATCATCATCAAAAATAAGTACTGGTCCTGCCTAACAGACTCACACCTAGATGATGCACTAAGAGCAGCGTGTTCCAGCTACACATCAGATTTTCGACAACTTGCAGCTAACATACAGTGTCAAATTTCACACTAATTATGTAAGATTGTAAGTAAATATAATTATATTAACAATAGATTTAGCCAGTATTAAATTTCTAACTATTTTATTATTAATTATTATTATTATTAGTAGTAGTAGTAGTAGTATTAAGAAGTAGTATAAATAGTAGTATTAAGTAGTAGTAGTAGTAGTAGTAGTAGTAGTGTGGTGGCGCCCGCACCTCCATAGGCATCAGTGAATTGTGCCCGAGCGTTGGACAGCACTGCTCTAACCAGTCTGTGTATGTCATTCTATATACACAGATTTTTTATGACCGCACACTGACAAAAACCTCCAATGTTCCTCCCATCAAATTGGGCTAACCCATAAAGTGTAAGTTTGTTTCATGAAAGTGTTGTCTATGATCACACTATATACACTGATAAATTTTCTGTAACATTTAGTTCAGTAACATATGATCTCAGTATAATAAATTTATGTTAGATGTCCACTGTCTAAGGTATACTTAATACAGAAGATATTTCAGGAACTGGCTCTTCCTGTCTTTCAATTGATTGCTTATCATTATGAAAGATGTGTTTACTGTTTTTATATATGATGTTAGTGGCAGTAAAGACAAAATTCAGAGTTGTATGAATGAATATGTGCAAGTACTACTAGATCACCTAAAAGAATCAAACTAGTATTAGAACTTGCAACAACCATTCCATGGCCATCCTTTTGTTTGCACATTAAATCAAGGCCACCAATTCAGTTCTTCTATCACAGATTATTCTCTTCACTCCTGTTAATTATTGACAACTATAAGATTATTCTGCCAGCATGCACTTAGCTTCCTAAGTTAGCTGCTAATGGTGGCTTGTAAAAGTTTCACACTCAAAGTATTTCAGGCAAATTACATGTATTTTAGACATATGACTGAATTTGTACATTTCAAAAGCATAAACATAATGCAATACAAAAGTTCAAAATATACATTAGAAATAGCCAGTTCGCTCCTGTGGATTGATATATAGATACCAGTCATTTCCAAAATTATTCAGTAACTGTTGCAACACACTGCACAGTCTTCAGGTATCAATACGTGGAGCTATACTGTTCTCTGAAGAATCCTGTCGAAATTTCTTCTGTACTGGTTGTTCCAATTCTTGATCCACTTCATCATTCTCTAAGGTATCATCTTTATCAAGTTCATTATGTTCATTTATGTCTTTATTTGCAATTACTATTGTCTTTCCAAGACGTCGACCAGCTGAAAATGATCAAGAATGATGTAGTTTCCTTTGCAACAAACTTCACTTTCCTTGTAGACAAAACAAAATACTATATACCTGCTTCTAATCTTGATTAACCCCTTCCTTGCTCAATTCAACATATGTGGTGTGATCAAATAATTACTGGATTGTTTCTCTGTGATAACTGCATTTACCCTCTATTCCATGCTATAGTTCCCTTGTGATCTGATGCAGCGAGTCCAACAATTATGCAACTACTGGAAGCATTGTTTTGAACCATGAATCATGACATCAAATCTCCTCCCCTACATTACCAACTTTTGTTTAATTGCCTGTGATGAACTTCAAAAAGAACTGTGGATCGCCCTGAAATTTTCTTTGAAGGTCCTGGCACAATTCTGTTCTATCTTGTGAAGCACACACTATGCAGCAACCCATCATATATTCAGATCTTAAAATACTTTTGCATGATCCAAATGGTATTTTCACATCATAAGTCATGTCAAAAACAGTGACAGATTTACTAAGCTTGATACTAAATTTTCATCCATTTTGATAGTGGATGGATATCCTGAACGCTCAGTGTTGTTAACTGATGTCACTCCACTTGAGAACTTGTAAAACCTATAAAACATTCCAGTTCTTGTCGTTGTTTCTGCTCTGTAAGACAGGTTTTAACATCTTGTACATTTACGGTAAATGTCTCCCAAGTTTAAAAGACAACATGTTTCACATATGGTGTTCTTTGAAAATTTGCCACTTTCCAATAAAACAAACATCACAGAGGGTAAAACACACAACTCACTTCACAATGTGTTAATTCTGAGGAATTTTAAAATGAGCAACAAATAACTCAGCAGATTCTACTCTGACTCAAACTAGCAGAGGAGTGCTGTCCTAACTGCAGTGATATCATATTGCAGCAAATCCAGAAACTAAATGATCACACCATGTATCTGCATTCATGTCAAGCAGATCACCTGTTACCATGGCACAACACATCCTACAACTAAAGCAGCTGTAAGACTTGGCAAGAGGATAAAACAACACTAGAGAAGAGGGCTAAAAATATGAAATGATATTGCAAGAGTTGTTACAGAATAGAATGGGCCATACTTACTTCAAATTTAGGAACTCCTAAATAACATGCATATTATAAATATAAATGTTCAATCGTAAAGAAAAAAACATGAAAAATTAAGTAGTTATATATAGGACAATCATATAACAAAAAGAAACATGGCATCTTCATACAAGATAACATCTCTTTCTATAACTAACTCCGTGACCTTTAGTCCACAAACGAACTATACCAACCAAGCGACTGCCACTTGTCAGCGAAGTTAGTGCCAACTTTAGTGGATAGAGGGTGTCACGTGGTCGGCGCAACACATCCCTACGCCTGTTAATCTGTTTTCTAGACTGGAGCTGCTACTTTTCCATTCAAGTGGCTCCTCAATTATTCTCACGAGGCTGAGTGGGCTGAGTGGACCCCGTTCCAGACCCACTACTTCTCAGAAAATATGGTAGTGCCAGGAATCTAACCTCAGACCTTTGGATCTGTAGCCAGGAACTCTGACCACTAGACCACAGAGGCGGTTAACATCTCTCTATGTAATAAAATCATGACAGTGCTGTGTGATAATGGGTATGCACATGCTGACTGCAGGTAGTACTAATTCTGCTGGCAGGTGGATATGCCAACAACAGTCTGTTACCAGCTGTTATCGTTTTCATAAAAAATTCTTATTTAGATTCTGGATGTTATGGTGGGGTTTTGACAATGTGGAGTCCCTATTAAAGTAACATAAAATTTAAACATGTGTATGAAGGTAACATAATGCCTAATACACTTCACACAAAAGAACAGGAATAGTATTATTTGAAAATTATGGATCAAAAACAGCAAACTTAATATCAAAGAGATGTAATGATGAAAATGTATATGAATTAATGACGAGAGAATTACTGGCTAATTTCACTTGGAATAAATACCAGTGTATTATCATATATTCTTTACCAGCACAACACATCAACCATTCACATTAGTCAAATTAGGCTGCCACGTTTCAAATTAGTACCGTTCATCCTCAGGGCCTCCACCTATGCTGCTTTAATACTGTCATAGGCGCAGGGAGATGCTAGTAGGTTGGTCTAGAAGTAAACGCAGAGAAAACTAAGTGTATGTTGCTATCTTGTCACAAAAATGAAAGGCAAAATCATGACATAAAGCTAGGTAACAGATGATCTGAAAATGTGGCACAGGTCAGATATTTTGGAACGGCTGTAACAAATCAAAACCTAATTCAGGAGGAAATTAAGAGGATACTGAACTAGGGTAATGCTTGCTACCATTCAGTTCAGAAGGCATATGAGGGAGGGTATGTATAGATCCACATTTTCTAGACCTCGGCACTAACTGGAGGTTGGGTGGTCAGCTTCATGCCCTGGTCACTTTAACCCCAGGGAAAGAGCCACGGGTACCCATTGGATAGGAGGCTGGGTGGGCCCCAGAGTCAGTCTAGACGATGTGGAGAAGAGAAAATTCTTGCCCCTAACAGGACTCAAACTCTGACCCATCAGTCATCAAGCCCATAGCCAGTCACTATACCGACAGCACTATCCCGGCTCCGACATCATGTGTTTATAATATACCTCCATACAAATTTTAAATGCAAGGTTCCAGTTGTCCATTACTTATCATCATGTCAAAGGTTAAGGAAAATGTTCGGCCACCATGTTGATATTTTAAATTCTACAAAACACTTTGATAAAAAGTTGCATATTTTATCGTTAATATCCTAAATTAAGTGGGACTAATGTTACCCCCACCTTACAGGTTTGCACCATGTGACATTTTATTATTACATAGTGTAGGACATTATAAAGTAATGGCACTGAGGTGGCCCTCAGGAGCACAGAGCTTCATGAAAACCAGTGAACTGATTCAGAAGTCAGAAGGATGGGACATATGCATGTGCACACATATACACAGCATGATGATCAGGCTAAAAAGCTCCTGGTTCAGAAAGAATCAGTATAAAATAGAGTATATTCCAAAACTACAACATGTTAAGATATGCATAATGTTTTGGAAGACAACATACTCGTATTTCAGAAAAATGGAGACTAGCAATTATAATACTCATGTGATTTACGTAGTGTGACAATAGACAGGTTTTGGATTGATGACTGGATTTACTGGACTCTTTGATGCAGTGTGTGATTACACTTTACAGTTCACTGTTATAAACTCATCATCACACGTGCACACACACCCATGGGGGGGGGCAAAAATGTACATACCTCAACATACATTTGGCATGTATCAGAAACCACTGTATACTAGATCTGCTAAATCCTATCTCACGTGCACGTTGTTTTGTGGTGCTTGTGTAAACTGTTCCAACACCACTGCAGAAGAGGCAGGACCCGTTACTGTGCAAGGCCTCCCAGATCTTTGCTTGTGTAAATTATGCACTGTACCATCAGACTCAAATTTGTCACAAATGTATGCAACTTCACTATGTTGGTCAGAAACTTCTGATATGGATGTAAGAGAATTTTAAATTTCTCTGTGGGACAACAATACGTTGTTAAAACTGTATGAAGTCCCAGCTTCCACCTCCTCCTCCTCTTTTTCAAGGGTATGGGCCATTGGCCTGTTTCCAGCTTCAAGAGAATATATCCTCCCGTCTATGTGTCATCCGACATTTTGGTCCTCTGGATTTATAATAAGTAATATCTGTGGGGCTCTATCTCTTGTCATTCTTAAAAAGTGTTCATACCAGTTTTATTTTTGCTTTCTATTATACCAGTTAAAATGAATATTTCTAGTTTTAACTATTGCCTATACTTCATTTTTGATCTAGGAGAGTGTATCCAGCTACCAGACATATGATGTACTGGCAATCTTCAAGAGAATTTTTGTACAGTTTATATAAAGATCAGTAAAAGCAAGGTAAAGTCCTAGCATTACCCACATTGCAGTATGGATCAAAATCCTGGATGTTTATACAACAAAAGCAATGAACAGAAGTGGCTGAAGTCTGTTTCCTCAGGGATATGGCGGAATAGAATAGTTAAAACAAAGCATAATGAGGTACTGTAATAAGATATGAATTATACATGCATATGTTGATATTTATAATTTAAACATAATACAAGAAATGGCATGGATATGTCATTATAATTCACAAGTATCATCTACCATAGAAAGCAGTGACCCTAAAATAACATTGAAGAACCAGTCCAAGATGCCCACTCTTAAGATGGAACCAACAATTTATAAAAGAAGTTTGGAACTGGAACAGGCCAAATGACCTAATCCTTGCTGTATGAGGATGATATGTAATTTTACTAAGGGCTTGGATTTTATGTATCTAGGAAATGTGCTCTGTATGTGATGGGTGTTGATAGGACTGCTGGAAGGGGTTCACCTATATACATGAAGATGTTTATGACCTTTCACTAGTTGTAATTACATGCTGCCATCTTCAACTGTTAAGAAGAAATAATACTTTTATTAAAATAGTGACCATGGAAAAGGTGATGTAACATATATTGGATGTCTTCCAAACTTATTTTAAATAACATCCACAGATTTTGTACCCAGAGTAAAGGCAACGATAACTTCAGCAAATACACTGCAGGAATGTCACTGAACTGAACCATCATGGCTTTGGCATTACCTGTACCGAACCTTCGGCTTTCATTAGCAGAGTCACTATCAGATTCACACAGCATTTCATAATCAGATAATGAGATGTGGTATCACAAAAAAATGGAAAGATCCGATTTTAAGTAAACCAAACATTTGCAATAAAACACCTGTCATCTAACTGCAAATATTTTACTGTATGCTTACTTTTTATGTATGAAACTTGGGTTTCTCACATTAAGGGAAGAAGAGAGACTGCAAGTGCTTTACAGCAAGGTGCTGAGGAGAGTATTTAGACCTGAGAAGTTACACGAGGATGCAGAAAATTACATAATGGGGGCTTTATTCAAACACGGCAGACATCTTGCATGCTGTGTCAGTTTAACCATTAGGCATTACAGTGCACACTGCTACAAGTGGATTGCTCTTACAAGGAGGAAGACATCAAACTGAGTGCAGTTGATTATGACCACAATCCTATAATATTTTATTCTATATCATAAGAGAATACTAAATGTACTCACCAGCTTTTATTAATAAAAATCTGCAAGCTGTGGTAATGGCACCCTTTGATTGTTCTTCACTGAGTCCAAAAAGAAGACCTCTGAAATGTATGGTAAGGAAGCAGGTTAAGCACAACATATTCTTTATGTCATTGCCTCAATTCCTGAATGCTAACCTCCGATGTCATCTCATAAACAACATAAAACATGTGTGGTAGATGAGCAAGAATCTACAATATGAAATCTCCACCAATCAGTCCAAAAATTGAGTTATGAGATAACATAGCGTAAAAATTTCTTCTGTTTAACTGTCTCAGAAACCATGAGACTTGCAGAAAGCATGCACTGGGCATAAAAACTGACCTTGTATTTACTGTAATAATATCCCACTCAATAAAACAAATCAGACTGTTTACAGCCAAATCCCAATGAACAGAAAAAGATTCCTGCTAAAAAAGGTTTCATTTCTCTCTACAATTTTTGTTCAGAATGTTGATATTTAGCAAGCTATACACAGAACTGGCTATAGGTCTTCATGTATAGTATCTCCTACTGTTATCCAATGTTAACCAAAACTGGAAGAGAGTGGCAAATTTTTGTAACCGCCCCCCCCCCCAATATTAAATTCCATGAAAATATGTTCAGGGGTTTTCAACTTCTTAAATGTGGCTAGACATGGGTAAATTAACAGACACATTACAATTATTATTTTGCTGGACATTATCCATCATCTTGTCTATTCTAAAAAACAGTCTAGTTTCTATTAAAAAACACAACGTTTCGAGAACTGGAATCTGTCCCCGTCTTCAGGTAAAACCTACTCAGTTGGGTCCAATAGACAGAGCTAGCCCCTATCTCCGGACAACTATGCCAATTTCCGAAGGGATTCATAAAAGAAGCACAACTTAATCCATCTGTGAGAGCTAAGAGATATTGAAGCTATCATAATTTGAGGCTTAGCACCAGAGAAAAACATCTAGAATGAAATCATACCTGGAGAGAAGCAATACTCCTTGTGGTATACAAGCACATCAAAATCATCTGTGGGAGCTAAGAAATATTGAAGATATGCTAATTTGAGGCTTAGCACCAGAGAATATCGTGAATGAAATCATACCGGAAGAGAAGCAATACTCCTTGTGGTACCAACATATGAAACAATTGGTTACCCAAACCAACTACACTAGACGTCGATGTAGTCTCTTGATTTCTGCTGTAATGACAGGGGCCCAGATGGGAGAGATATCCATACTGGGTTGACTGATTGGATGGTCCAGCAGAGACATGTGGGCTGATTCCTTGTATCTTCTATATGTGGTGTTGGGTTCGATCTGCAAAACCTTCGCTTCATTCCAAAGAATTTTGTGATCTTCCTCGTATGCATGTTGGGCCAATTTAGACTTTTCCAGCAAACCCTGTGTCATATTATATTTGTGCTCCTTAATGCGTACTTCTAGGGGTCTGCTAGTTTCACCGATGTAACATCTGCCGCAGTCGCAAGGGATGCTATACACACACTGCTTCGTTTTCTGGGCATCTCTACTGGGTCCAGTTTTCATTAATGTCCCCCGGAGTGTATGTTTCGTTTTGAAGATTGTTCTAAGCTGAAAACGATTCCCGATGCGTCTGAATTTCTCGGCGATACCCTTGACATACGGAATGATTACAGTGCCTCGGTATGTTGTGTCTGAAGAGGGACGATTTCTTGTCGATGGCTTCAATACAGAGTCCACGAATTCTTTAGGATATTCACTGAGCATTAGATCATGTCTTATGTTTCTGATTTCTTTACTAAAATCCTTCTTGTTTTGACATATGACCTTCGCTCTGTTGATCAAACTATGAACAACTCCCCTTTTTACGTGGTGTGGGTGATTGGACTTGAAGTGAAGATAACGACCAGTATGAGTAGGCTTTCGGTACACTTTGGTGGTCAGTTTTGGACCCTGCTTCATAACCAAAACATCCAAGAATGGAAGTGCATTGTTGACTTCAACTTCCATAGTGAATTTGATGGTAGGCCTGATGTTGTTAATATGTTGAAGAAATTTCTGTAGCTCTTCCGGTCCATATGGCCATATCACAAACGTGTCGTCGACATATCTCAGCCATTTTGCAGGCTTGTATTCAGCTGTGTCTATTGCTATTTCTTCGAAATGCTCCATGAATATATTACTGACCACCGGGGATAGTGAGTTTCCCATTGCCATACCTTCCTTTTGCTGGTAGAACGTATCTTCAAACTGGAAGTATGTGGTTTTTAAGCAGATGTCCAGTAGTTCCATCACGTCTTCAACTTGTAGAGGTGAGCGTTCTGGGAAGGAAGAATCCATTCTGAGTCTATCTCTTATGATTTGTAAGACCTCTTCCACTGGTACGTTGGTGAACAGACTAACAACGTCAAAACTTACAAGGCAGTCTTCTTTTTGCAGGTTGATATCCTGTATTGATTTTATAAAGTGTTCAGAATTCTTTACGAAGGAACCTGTGTTTCCAGATAGAGGATTGAGGATCTTATGGAGGAATTCAGCTAATGCATAACAAGGAGAATCAATAGAACTAATTATTGGTCTGAGTGGGATACCAGGCTTGTGAATTTTGGGGAGTCCGTAAAGATGAGGGGGTTTACTATGATAAGGGGTCAATTTTCTCTTCAGTGCAGTAGGAAGGATAGTTTTATGTTTAGTAAGGAGTGTCCGTATTTTTCTCTCAATTTGAGCTGTAGGATCCTTACGTAAAATTTCATATACACTTGCATCTAGGAGGCTGGCTATCTTCTCCTTGTAAGTAGACTCGTTCAAAACCACCGTACAGTTTCCCTTGTCAGCCTGTAGAATTCGTATATGTCTATTATTTTTTAAGGATTTTAAAGCCATGGATTCCCTCCTAGTCATATTAGATGAAAAAGTTTTTGCTTTCTCTAACATACACCGGATCTGCCAACTGAACTCCATACCCATGGCGGGGGGAAGTTTGGATCTTGCAGATTCTGCCGCACATACCATGTCAAGATTAGATATTCTGTTGGTTATTGCAAAATTCAGCCCTTTCTTGAGAATTGATTCCTCAGATTCTGTAAGAACATGGTCGGACAAGTTTATGACAAACTTCTCGGACCCCTGAGTGGTTTCCGGTGTCCTGGTGGACTGATGGTGATTTTTTAGAGCTGAGAATTTTCGAATCTGGATCTCCTTCAGCTTCAGAAAATGATGTTTGTATGAGCTTTCTACTGCAGCTAGGATGCGGAGTTGGTCTGAATTATTTGTTGATTTCCGAAAAAATGATTCTAGGTCGTTAATTTGTTTGTTGAGAGCGGCTTTCTTAAACCGGTGGAACTGAATCCTATCTCTTAATAAGGCTTTGCTGGCTCGTAAAGTTATCTTGAAAGAGCGATGACTGTGGTATGGAGCTTTCAACATGAGGCCCTTGGGAACTATGTCATGAATCTTGCATTTCATAAGAAAAGTGAGATGGTTGGAAGTCTTAGCCAACTGGATCTTGAGTCGTTCAAATTTTCTAAAATTGGGATATATACCAGGTCCATACTGGTTATGCAAATAAGATCTAAAAGTTTGTGATGATGGTAAATTGTTACAATTATTATTTTGCTGGACATTATCCATCATCTTGTCTATTCTAAAAAACAGTCTAGTTTCTATTAAAAAAACAGACACATCTTTACAACTTCTGTTGTGAACATGCAAAAAGAAATCATGCCTTTAAATATAATCAAAGTATAAAAATAGAGGTGTATATAGTAATTTCAAATTCTTGACTTTCAATATAACAGCAAAATGGCACTAACCAAATAGGTGAGACTTTTCCCAGTCCTTATTTAAAACCACATGCAACTAGTACGGAAGAAAGGTTAGAACATGTCTAAGCTGAGGTGTCTGAGAACCTAATCCATCCAAAATTCATACCAAGCTTTTGCATCCCTCAAGGCAATAACTATAATGAGCGATGGACAGACAATAACCACACTTTTCCAGCCCCATATATCTCAATTATACTGTTAGACCCAGTACCCAGTAAGATCATACAGCTGAAATTAATGTACTACCTGATAGCATTACCATATTACATAATTTTCAACTCTCATAATGCTGAAGAGAATATAATATTTACTTTTTTCATTGCATGATCTCTTTATTTCAACTAATTTGAGGGAGCAGAGCTCTTCCTGAGAAGCTAACTACCTCTCAGAAGGTCATGAAATGTCCTGCCTCTTGTGGAATCAATTGGGTTTATTACCATGTAAGGTCTGAAGCTTTCATGGTGACTAAGTTGATAAAAGGCCATGCCATAGCTCAAGCAGTTAGTCGCTGGCTTCCTATCATGGTGGCCCAAGTTCAATCCCAGGTCTGGTCAAGTGGGATTTGTGGTGGACAGAGTGGCACTGGGGCAGGTTTTCTCCGAGTACTTCGGTTTCCCCTGCCAATCTTCATTCCACCAACTGCTCCACAATCACCCTTGCCTATCATCTAGGGCCAGTACAACAGGCCAGAAGCGGCCGCAGTACAAGGGACTTAGTCGCACGCCACTAGAAATAAAAAAAAAAGTTGATATAATCTTCTCAGGCTGTCATTATTACCACATTCACAAAAGCCTGCTACCAACTCCTATCCTGAACCAATGAACAGAGTTCACACACACATATTTCTTTAACATACATTTTATATCATGTTCCCACTTATGCTAGGTCTCTCAAACAGTCTCTTACCTTCAGGTTTTTAAACTAAAATTTTGTGTGCATGTCTTATGTCCCTCATTCATGCTTCACACCCTAGCAACTTCATCCTCCTTTAGTTTATGATTCTAATATTTCTTGAAGACTACAAATTCCCAGGCTTCTCATTATACAATTCCCCCCACCTTCTGTTACTTCTTTCGCTTATGTCAAAATATTGTCAACAGCCTGTTCTCAGACATCTTCACTGTATGTTTTCCCTTTAATCAAAGAAATCAAGATTCACACCTAAATAAAACAACAGGTATTTGTAGCTTTAAATTTACAAGATTTAAAACAGGATCTATACATCCATTCCCCCTTATGCCTTCATGCTGTAGTGCTTAATTAGTTAAACACAGGGACAACTTTACCTTACCTTACAACAGGAGATGGTCTCTTTCATTTAACAGAGCATAATATTAACACTGGCTTTAAATCAGATAATTTTCTAATTTTTTGTAGTAAAAAGTTAAAAAAAATATGTAAAATTAAACTGTGTAATTGTGTTTAAAGGTGCCGGCCATATTTACCAATAACAATTGTATGGTCACAAAAACATGGACAGAGGGACGAAATGAAACATTAAAACAAGACATTACTTACAACATTCCGAAATATATTTCTTACTTACTTAATCATGGAGCTGAGCCCTTCTGGAGGAGCCACCAATTCTGCAGCTGCTCAAGAATTTCCCAGCACTTTGGAACCCGAAGATTCATCACCGTGTTCACAAGAGCCCTCCACTGGCACCTATCCTGAGCCAGATCTATCCAATACAGACCATCCCATCCTATTTCTCTAAGATCCATTGTAATATTGTCCACCCACCTATGCCTTGGTCTTCCCTGTGGTCTCTTTCCTTCCAGCTTTCCCACCAATATCCTATACGCATTCCTCGTCTCCCCCACTCGTGCTACATGACCTGCCCACCTCATCCTCCTTGACTTGATCATTCTAATTATACTTGGAGAAGAGTATTCCCTTAATGTCAGAGACCAAGTTTCACACCCATACAGAACCACAGGCAAAATTATAGTTTTGTATATTCTAATTTTTATGTTTTTGGACAACAGACGAGAAGACAAAAGGTTCTGGACTAAATGGTAGCAAGCATTACCCGCGTTCAATCACCTCTTAATTTCTTCCTGAATCAGGTTTTGATCTGTTATAGTTGTTCCCAAATATCTGAATTGTGCCACACTTTCAAAACATCTGTTTCCTACCTTTATGTCACGATTTTGCCCTGCATTTTGGTGATGAGAGAGTAACATAAACTTAGTTTTCTCTGCGTTTACTCCTAGACCAACCTCTTTACTTGCCTCAATTAATGTTTGTGTGTTTTTCTTTATGGTATTTACATTATCACCCAGTAGATTCACATCATCGGCGTAGACCAACAGCTGATGTGTCCTGTTTAATTTCAGTCCCACCTGGTTTCCCTGGACCTTCCTAATTGCATATTCTAAGGCAAAGTTGAAAAGGAGTGGCGATGAAGCGTCTCCTTGTGTATTCCAAAATATATAGTGCTTAAAATAATTTAACTGTTTCCTTCCCACACTAACTTAAATACGTGCATCTGTAGAGATGATGAAACATAAGTCTACACACACCCAACTTTTCATTTAAAACAATGAAATTAAGTCAATTTCTTGCCATATAAGACACAGGTGTGATTATAACACACAGAACCCTGTGTAAAAAACTTCTCAGCTTCTTATACAAAATGCATGTGCAAGAGCACCTAGATACTCTTACTCTTGCATAAACACATCCATGATTCAGACTGGATGTGTCATTAACATTTCAATGCTTATCCTTTTAAAGTTAAATGAAGGATACAAATTTATCACATCATACGGTCCTCGAACATGGAATGGACTTGCTGCTCCACTGGAGATGACTATATTCTGAAAACAGTTCATCCATATAACAAAACCTCCAAAAAGTAAAACTCAAGAACTAAACTTTTATTAAGTCTTTGTGATTCAACATTAGATGGAAATAAAGCAAACTTTACACTGCATAATATTACAACTAAAGTAAAAATGGTATCCCTGTAACAGGCCGTGGAGGCCTGTTGGGTTGTGAGATGTTGAGGTTCCCACATTTTCTAGACAATCGGCTCATAGATGGTGGCAAGGTTCTCAGCCGTACACACCAGCTCCCTTTACCCCCAAGAATATTCTAAGAATATTCCTGGTACTCATTTCTGTTAGAGGCTGAGTCGACCCCAGGGCCGTAGCGCAACTGGAAGGATTAGGTCAATTGAAAAAATCCAATGACCTCATCGAGACTTGAACCCATGACCTTCCGGCTTGTAGCGCAGTGCCTCAACCAACTACGCTACTGTGTCCCCCATAATACTACAACTAGATGAATTAAATTGCATGAAAATTCCTTGTAAAACATTTACCTATCTGTATCAGCAAAATTACTTCCACAGTTTTCATATTTATTTCTATCCTACTTTTCTTCCTTGTGTAAAAAAACAAACTTGTAAGAGCTCAATGTTTACTAAACTTACGTTCATCTGCGTTCATTGCACAGGACACAATAAATATTTGAATTTTAATAATGTCACTGGTTGATCAAAGTACAGTTCCTTTCACTGTACAAACAAAATTTTCACAATTATATGAATAAGGGTAAAACAAATAATGGCAACCTCACCTTTGATTTTCCAAAACCATGATACAAGTGAGCCAGTTGAATAATGTTTTTCCTGGCTGTAGAATCTCTAACAGCTGGTGTATACATAATCTCAAAGCTAAGACCACGATCTACAGCCAAGTTATACATCTTTCTGTTACATCTGACAAGCCCAGTATCATCTGGATCAAAAGTTATGAGATCCACATCCATTGCTGAGCAGGCATACTACAGAGAAGTGAAAAAATGAGGTATCATAATGCTGAGTCAGTTTGGTTATTATATGCAAGAGAACTGATAAAATGAGAGTCCATATTCTTTAATAGAATAAGTTTGATAACAAATGCAACAATTAAAAATATAAAAAACTTAACTCAGTATTCAGCAACAGGGTAATGTAATGTAATGTAATAGTTCTCAATTTACCCAAAAGACGAGATTTGGTGGATCAGTCATATGTGAATAAGGAAACTGATAGTTACAACAGAAGGTTGGGTACGCATTTGAAAGTGTTAGACCGTGTGCATTATATTCATTCATTCATTCATCAGTAATCTGTCAAGACGACAGGTCCACAGTCTCTTCCAAAACAGTTCCTCCACTTGATGCGATCTAGAGCTTTCTCCTTCAAATGAAACATCTCGCATACATGGTATCTCTGGTTTTGGAAAGAGACTATCCAGGAAAAGTGATAATGTGGTAGTTTTTCCATTTGCTTTCCACATCGCAGTACAACAGCCATTCAAACCACTCTGGCCACGCCTGTTGCTATACGAACTTGAACCATCTCGAGCATTATTTACTCTGTGCTTCAAGTCGCTGCTGATGACGCTGCTTCCGGCATCAGTTTTTGGTGTCTCTCTTCGTCTGATGCCTACCCTTTGACCTGTCCAGCAAGGGAGGCCCTGCCAGTAGCTACGCTACCGCTGGTATAGCTCTCAGGGTCCTTGGCATACTCAAACCCCCTCACCACGATTAGGTGGAGCCACCAACGAGGGGGTGCATTATATAGTGATTAATTATGATAGAAAATTTCATACAAGCCATGGCATGCACTTGAACACAGAAGGTAAGGAGTATGTAGCTAAACAGTTAGTTTCTTTCACTGATAAGAAGATAAAGAGCTGGCAGTCATATTTTTAAACTGGGATAATGTTAATTGTGGAAAATGAAAAAAGGAAAAGTGATGAAAGCTGTAAGTTTGAAGAAGTTCAGGAAACTTTATTAGAGGAGGTAGTTAAACTCAATGAACAAATGATCTCCCCAATGCTGGGTAAGAGAGTTAGAAGATGACCAGTAAATATGGGTGATAATTTTTTATGGTAATGCCTCAAAGATTAAACTTTAGGATACTAAGATAAGCTCTTTTAATTTATTCCACCAAAATATTAGAGGTCTACAACATAAAACTGATGAACTGATTTGTATGTTAATTAGTCATGACTTTAGCCCACATGTAATTTGTATAACTGAACATTACTTATCCGAGCAGAATCTTTTATTGATCAAACCAGAAAATTATTGTTTAACCTCACAATTCTCACGATCATTAAGTAATGGTGGAGGTGTTTGTATATACTGTAAATTGGATATGGACTGTAATCCAATTAATATAACACAATATTGCATGAAAAAGGCGATTGAGGCCTGTGCAGTCTGATTAAATATTGGTAATAATTATTTTATAATACTATGTATTTACAGATCTCCTTGTGGAAATGTGGAGGAATTTATTAAGCAATTTGAACTAATACTGAAATCTGTTTACAAGCTTAAACTTGAATTAATAATATGTGGAGACTTTAATGTAAATTTTTTAGAGAATTCAAGTATATCTCTTCAGCTTATTTCACTATTTTAGATGTACAACCGGTCTCAGGTTGTCGAATGTCCAACTAGGATTACAACTGACACCAGTAATGCTATTGAGAGTATATTTTTGGATTACAGCAGATTGAATACTTTACAGGTGTACTCAGTAATCAATGGGCTTTCAGATCACGATGCTCAGTATTTACCTGTTAGTAATGTTGTGTACTGCCAAATGAATAAGACTGGATTAGTTAAAAGAAGAGTTATATCTAAGTCTGGCATCATAACTTTTAATGAGATGTTCAGTAGGGAAACCTGGGAAAGTGTTTTAAGTAATCTTGATGTTAACAAAAGTTTTAATCTATTTTTTAATATCTTTTTAATGATTTTTGAAACATGATTTCCTGCAAAATTTGTCAAAAATAATGTGTACCCTAACCAGTGGATCACTAAAGGAATTAAAATTTAATGTAAGCAAAAAAGTATTTGTATTTGATGATTATATCTACTAATTACCCAGGCTTAAAGGAGTATTATACTAGATATTGTACATTGCTGAGAAAAGTTATCAGAAGAGTTAAAGCTATATTATGAGGGAATAATAATGGCTGCATCTAACAAATCCTATGAGTCCTGGAAAATCATAAAGAGAGAGAATGGTAGATAGTTGAAGAAAAAACATTCATATTCAGAACTGAGAGAAGGTAATGTAATAATCGATAGTAGGAATGAAGCTAAGGCATTCATATTTTTTGAGTTCAGTTAACAAATTAGTTGGTCAGAGTTCTAATAATGTATGTTTTTTACCACTTTCATGTGAGTACTCTACAGATAAGATTTCTGAAATTGAAAATATTCCAATTACTGAGGCAGAAGTATTACGCACGATAAATTCATTAAAAAATAAATCTTCTTGTGGATATGATAGGTTGTCAAATAAAATTATTAAATTATGCGGTGAACAGATAGCAAAGCCACTTACTTATATTTGTAATCTTTCTGTAAGTTCAGGCATATGTCCTGATCAATTGGAATATGCAAATATTATACCATGTTTTAAGAAAGGTGATGTTACTGAATTTGCCAACTATAGAGCGATATCTTTATTGACAAGTTTCTCTAAATTATTTGAAACATTACTATTTAGCAGGCTTAAACAGCATTTTATAAGAAATGATATCCTGGCTCCTGAGCAGTATGGCTTTTGTAAGGATGTTTCTACACAAACCGCAGTCTTTAATCTAACTGAAACTGTTCTTAAAGCATGGAACAATAAGGAGTTTGTGGTAGGTATTTTTTGTGATTTGACAAAGGCCTTTGAATGTGTCAGTCATGATCTGTTGATTCAAAAGTTGAAGATGTATAGAGTCAAAGGGCCTATTTTGAAATGGTTGGACACTTATTTAAAAAACAGAACGCAAAGAGTTGTGCTGCATACTTGTAATTCGACTACTACAATCTCTGAATGGAAATCTGTAAGGTTTGGTGTGCCACGGGGATCTGTCCTGGGACCAATGTTGTTTAATGTTTATATTAATGATTTTCCAGGTACTCTTAAGGATATAGCACGTACTATTTTGTACGCGGACACAAAAATTTTAATTAACTCGTATCACCTAAACTCTTTGATGTTTAAATTAAATAGTTATGACTAGGGTTTCAAGCTGGTTTCGAAACAACAATCTGATACTTCATTTGAGTAAAACTCACCTGATTAAATTTGTGACTCCTAAGTCTCCAGAGTATACATTATCAGTAACATATAACAATTTTAGACTTAAAGATGTTGATAATGTTAATTTTTTAGGTATGTATTTAGATTGTCAACTTAATTGAAAAAAAACAATCTGAAAACTTATTAAAGAAACTGAATACAGCGTGTTTTATGCTCAGGAAATTACAATCCCTTGTCAGTGAACTAGCTCTTTGAATGGTCTATTTTTCTTATTATCAGTCTCAGCTTGAATATAGTATTATATTCTGGGGTTCTTCTCCAGTTGTAAAAAGTTTATTTGTTGCTCAAAAAAGAGCGATTAGGGTTATGCTGAGATTGAGTCCTGGAAACTCGTGTAGAGAAGGTTTTAAGAGGTTGGGTATTTTGATGGTTCCCAGCCTATATATCTATTCTATATTGATGTTTGTTGTTAAAAATCACAATTTTTTTCAAACCAACAATAATATTCATCATATAAACACTAGACAGTTTGGAAAGCTACATGTGTCATCAGTGAGATTATCTTCAATCCAGAGAGGCGTGTTATATTCATCCATTATGGTTTATAATAATCTTCCTCAAATTATACAAAGGATGAGTGATAATGTGAAGATTTTTAAACGCAGTTTCCTCACAACAAATGCTTTTTATTCAATAGATGAATATATTTTTGCTAAGCATGAATAACATTTAATAACTATATTCCTTGCAATTTTGTTTATGAATGACAATGTAAATTATGGTTATTTGGTGCTTTTGGTTGTGTGTGGTTGTTTACTGTTGACATGATTGTACTTCTGCAATGAAGTCGTATCTGGTCCAATTTGGACAACGGATCAGTGAATTTATAAATTATGTATGTATGTAATGTCATTAAGTGTTTTCTCTGAACTTTGTGTAGGGTTAGAAATATAGATCAGCTTTATCTAATGAGCCTACACAGGAAATAACTCCTTCCTTCTACATGAAGACAGAGACAAGCCAGTTTCCAAAATGCATAGATCCAGACTTTGTCTAAAGATATCAGTTAGCTTTACAGACTCCACAGAGTACTTACTTTTCCTTCTGCATGAAGATGGAGACACAGTCAACCCCCAAAATGTCATAACTTTCCTGTCCAATTATGGAATTCAAAGACTCAAAATTAATATCATGAAAGCCTCCACAACCTTAATCAATTTGTTTATAATGTACCACTGGTATCATATACTTAAAAATATAGTGCAAAACTTTCATCTTTGCACTAAAGCATGCCGACTTGCATAGGCTCTTCTATTTTAAGTTCACAAATTTTAAAAATCAATGAGCAAGGCAACAGATACTGACTGACATGCAGAACATACTGTGGAAAAATTATAGCTATCCGAAAACATACCTGAAATGCAACCTGATTTGTTGGAATAACTGCCAAAATGTTGTACATCTTTGCATTGGCAGACTGGTTCTAGGAACAAAAGATAAAGATATGTCATCAATGGAAGTGATATAAATATGAAATCAATTTAGGCACTGCTCTAACAGATGTGTATTCTTTCATATTCATAATGAAGAGACAGTTTCTGACAAGAGCTAACACTATACACCGCATCTTTCACTGCTGCTTTCAGGGTTAAAACCAAACCTAGGATATACTACAAGTTTCAATGCTTGTTTTATGGACAAAATGGGAGGGAGTGCTGTAGATTGCCCTTAGATGAGAAAGTTTCTTACAGTCTTCTTACTGAACATGATGGTGAGAATGAGTGTCACCTTCTTGCTTTGCATTCAGGATGAATCAGAGTCAAATTTAAACATTATGAAGAACCAGAAATTTCTTTACATATTCTTCAGGTAACATGGTAACTAACATCACAACCCACCAATTTGTGTGCTTCCAGCTGAGAAGATAAAGACACTGTAAGCCGTTCAAATATGTCAAGCTTCCCTTCAAATTCCTGAAACAAAAAAGGAAAAAAGTCATACCATTATATACTGTAATTAAAATAAATTTCAATTATTAAAATTCCAGGTGTTAGAAAGGACTTGAGGAGTGATCACAATACAAGGACCAAATGTGCCTTCTACTATACATTTTTATATCCTGTGAGAATGAAGTCAATGGGAGACTGTGTCTGCTCATCCAACATTAATCAGCAAGTGTTTACAACAACTGGTACTGAAATGCCAAAATGTAAGTCCTCCACAAAAAGCTCACATTGAACATCACAAAATTTCTCAAAAAATTCTCAACATACAAAAATGTGGTATATGATGTAATATATATAAAAGTAAGTGAAGTAAAGGTATCCCTGTAAAAGGCCATGAAGGCCCATAGGGTTGTGAGTTGTTGAGGTTCCCATATTTTCTAGACAATTGGCTCACAGATGGCAGTGAGGTTGTCATCCTTACGTGCCGGCCGCCCTTTAACCCTAGGAAGATTCCTGGTACTCATTTCTGTTAGAGGCTCAGTCGACCCCAGGACCATATTGCGGCTGGAAGGATTAGGTAAACTGAAAAAATCCACCTCATCGGGATTTGATCCCACGACCTTCTGGCTTGTAGCATAGTGCCTCAACCAACTATGCTACTGCATCAAATGACCCTGAGAGCTATGCTGGCGGTAGCATAGCTACTGGTAGGGCCACCCATGCCGGACAGGTCGAAGGTGGTGACCCAGACTAAAAGAGATACCCTGACCCTCCAGGTTGGGGGTTGGGCGAGAGGCTGACGACCTCTCACCGTAAAAAAATATAAATGTCTCGAAACCTGGAATCAAGCCTCGGAAACCTCAACAGAAGGGAAGATGATTTTTGGCAAAGAATATGGACTACTCTCTAGGTACACGGAGTGTGAAAACCCTCAATAAACCAGGTGCCATGAAATCAGTATTAGAACAGATAGATAAGTACAATATGAAAATCACAGCCATACAGGAAATTAGATGGCTGGATAAAGGAATCATGGACTTAAAGAAACATACTATATGTTACAGTGGTAAAGCAGAAGGCAATAAGGAATTTGGTGTAGCCTTTGTAATAGAACGAGAATTTAAAAGCGCAATAATAGACTTTAAACCAATAAGTGAAAGAAATTGCACTTTGAGAATTAGAACGAAATTTTTCAATATGACGTTGATGAACGTGCACGCACCTACATAAGGAATAGAGGAGGAGGTCAAAGACTATTTCTATCAACAAATGGAAGAGACATATGATTCAATACCAAGTAATGACATAAAGGTTATTTTAGGGGATCTTAATGCCAAAATAGGTAAAGAAAAGGAACACAGAGGAGTAATTGGGTCAGAAAGTTTACATGATACAACCAACCATAATGGAATAAAATTAATAGATTTTGCAGAAAGTAAGAACTTGATCATCAG